AATAAAAATGGGAAGAAACTTAATAGTGCAAAGTGCAAGGTCATGCATTTAGGGACTAACAACAAGAATTTTTGCTATAAGCTGGGGATGTATCAGTTGGAAGTGACAAAGAAGGAGGAAGACCGGGGTGTATTGGTTGATCACAGGATGACTATGAGCCATCAATCTGCTGTGGCTGTGAAAAAGGCTAATGCAGTCCTATGATGCATCAGACGAGGTATTTCCAGTAAAGACAGGGAAGTGTTAATATTATACAAGGCAGTGGTGAGACCTCATCTGGAATAGTGTGTGCAGTTCTGGTCTCCCGTGTTTAGGAAAAATGAATTCAAATTGGAACACATGTTCAGAAAGGCTACTAGGATGATCTGAGGAATGAAAAACCTACCTTCTGAGATGAGACTCAAAGAGCTTGGCTTATTTAGCTTATCCAAAAGATGGCTGAGGGGAGATAGGATTGCTCTGTAAAAATACATCAGAGGGATATACTAGGCAGGAAGCAGAGTTATTTAAGTTAAGTGCCAATGTTGACACAAGAACAAATGGATATAAACTGGCTGTCAAGTTTAGGCTTGAAATTAGGTGAAGGTTTCTAACCATCAGAGGAGTGAAGTTCTGGAACAGCATTCCAAGGGGAGCAGTGGGGGCGAAAAAACTAACTGGCTTCAAGACTGAGCTTGATAAGTTCATGATGGGGATGGTCTGATGAGACTGCCTATAATGGCATGTGGCCCATCAGTGACTGACAGTAGCAAACATCTGTAACAGCCAAAGATGGGACACGAGATGGGGAGGGCTCTGAATTATTACAGAGAATTCTTTCCCAGGTGCCTGCTTTGTTGATCCAGCCTACATGCTTAGGGTCTAACTGATTGCCATATTTGGGGTCAGGAAGGATTTTTCCCGTTGGTCAGATTGACAGAGACCCTGGTAGTTTTTTGCCTTCCTCTGCAGGATGGTGCATGGGTCACTTGCAGGTTTAAACTAGCGTAAATGGTGAATTCTCTATAACTTGAAGTCTTTAAATCATGATTTGAGGACTTCAGTAGCTCAGCCACAGGTTATGGGTCTATTACAGGAATGGGTGGGTGCGGTTCTGTGGCCTGCAATGTGCAGGAGTTCAGACTAGATAATCCTGATGGTCCCTTCTGACCTTAAAGTCTATAAATATATTTATCTAGAAATATATTCATAACTAGTGCTTGAAAATGCTGCCTACATTCAATGCAAAGTGTTACAATTATGAAAAACTTGGTTTTTTGCATTTCCTGACAAAGTTTTTGTTTATTCCATTTTTGTTGGTGCATGTCATTAAAAAAAATAAATAAATAAACAAACTTACATTATGGGGTCAATAAACACCGGAAAGCACTTAAGTCCATCTCTATGTAGTATTGCACTTAAGCCTTTGCTTAATTGCCAGCATGTGATTGTGTCCCATTGACTTCAATGGGATTTAAGCACATGCTTAAAGTGAAGCACATGATCAAATGCTGTCATTAATGGATTTATTTTTCCTGAACTGGGGCCCTAATACAGTCCATATAGTAATATTATGAAGCTGTTACAAGTCTTTTCCACTCGCAGTTAAAGTGTATGTTAAACTAGTAGAAATCCGTGTTTACTGTAGTCAAACCACCCAGCACTGAGAACTCCTGTGACCATACCAGCTAAGAAAGGATGAGCCTAGACAGTCCTTGGACAAGAGACCTCCAAGGAAAATCCAATTCATATGAAAGAGGTACTAGTAAATCAATAAAAAGCAACGTTCTGCCAATTGCAGATTGAACCGTCAGGGGGTACTGTGCTGCGAGATGGTGAGGGCTTTTATTTCTTTATTTTTAAGATGTGACCAAACTGATGTCCAGATGAGCTTTGGTCCTTTAATTTCTCATGAAACTACTTGAAATAATAGGAATAACAACCTTAGCATTCTGGCCACATTCTACTTTGGGCACTTATATTGTGCGGACCTAAATTCCCCCTACCTTTTAAATTGGTATAATTTAAAGTGGTATAATTAGCTTGCCCCATACCCTAAACTTTGATAGATCATGAAAAAAATGGCCCTTAATGCAGCATTTTGGTATTAAACTTCACAGAGAAGTAGGAGGAAACTGCTTGATTTTAAAAGAATTATCAGGTTTTCAGATCAGCAAAGTGAAAATTTTCCTGATTGCTTCTTAAACCCCATTTTAGAGTACAAATGAAGGAAGGGGCTGTATGCTACAGAGTAAGATAAAAGACAACACAATGCCAAGAACAGAAAGGAGACAATGAAGACCAGAGAGGGGAAAAGGAAGGAGGGGAGACTTTGGCTGTAAAGTGAAGTATCAAGCCAAAAGAAAGGGGTCTAGTTACTGAATCATCAACACGTGAAGCACCTGCATGCTCTTTGTCTGGCTCCTACTCATAAGTTAAGGATAACACTGCTTAAGCTTGAGAGATCTGGCAAGATCACAACTTGCGATAGTTGGAAGAACAGTAACCATGGATTTCAATCAGTACATCATATGACCTTCTCACTAAAGAACATCTATTTCCTGTGGAGTTCATAAATGCCTCTTTTATTATTAAAACCCACACTGTAAAGTTATGTGAGGATTAATAAGAAATCTTCTCTTTGAATAAAATGCTGGTTTAATTTTCAGTCATTAAGAGCAACCTCCTTCATTGACAAATGGCTTTTCCTGTGCCAGATACCTGCATTTGTGCTGTCCCCAGTTCTAGTTATTAGCATAATTTGTTGCAATTGACTTAAATCCCATTTCCCCATGAGCTTCATTGGTTGGTATATTCTGGGAAGGCATCAAATGCTTGTCTTTTTCAATCAAATTTCTGTGTATGAATTAAAATTTTGGTGGCTCTGATCCCTCCTAATTAGAAAGATGTGGGAAGTCACAGAGAGAAACACGAGGTATTCATGCTGAAAAGAACTAGCCCTGCCACTGTTTACTCACACATGGGGTTAATCCTGCCATCACCAATTTGGCAGACACATGGCTGCCCCAAAGGAACGGATATTTGGGGGGAAAAAAGAATATTGTGGATACCTCATTTCCATTAAGTCTGTCACGAATGGTTTGCTGACTTGCCTACCAACTTCAAGTGTAAGCAGAAGGAGCAGCTCTGACAAAAGTAGTAAAATGAGTATGATTTTCTGTTTTTCCTCATTTAAAAGGGATTTCCCACATAATAAGCAATGTGAAGATAGGCCTTTTAAACAGAAAGAATAATTTTTAATTAAAACACACTGAAGACAGATTTGGTTAGGGAAGAAAGCATTTATTTTCTATTTAATGTCTCAGTGCCTTTATAAGAACAAAATTAGATAACTCTTTCGCTAGAAAAGCTTCTTTCACTCCATAAAGAAATATTAATATTCTCCCCTACTTGACAAAAGGCTTTTGGTACTGGTACAGTGGTTAAATTTATAGTACTATCTATATTCTTACAGTTTACTTCACATTTTTCAGATTGCTAACCAAATGCATGCTTAGGAGAAAATTACAATGGATTATACAGAGTGATAAATATCCTATCTATCTTCTAACACAGCAGGTCTGCTCTCTGTACATACTTAAAGTGATCTCTGTTCACTTTTTTGACAAAGCTAAGTTTTTATTGCACTGCATACATGTTAGCACTACAGAGCTAACACTACTCTAGTCTAGCACATGAATGCTTGGGAATTATTATCAGTGTTCTAATTCTGGAACATTGATTACTTATGATACATAAGCCAGAAAACACTCACCTTGCTAACAGATCACAGGCATACTATGCAGAACTTAAAAATGGAGAAGATTTGAAATCGAGAGCATTAGTCCACGCCAAGTTACTTCAGCCAGTGTTTTTTTTATTTTGTTCTCTCCCTGTCATCTGCTCCTCCTCCACTCCTCCCTCCCCCCACCCAGGGTTTCACCATTCTTCACCAACTTAAAACCAACAAGATATTTTGCTCAGTTTTCTAAAACACTTACTCTTGCAAAAGAAACAGAGTAAGTTGTTGGATCCAAAACTCATTGCCTATTTCAAGAAAATTTACTCAAGCCTTTCCATAAGATAAGTTGTGTTATAATAGTTAAAGAAGCAACACGAAAAAAGAAAGAGCTAACCTTACAAACACTATGCCCTGGCAACTTAGGCTATATCTACACTAGCATTTTTGTCGGTCAGAGGTGTGAAAAAACACCCCCTGACTGACAAAAATTACACCCACAGAAGTGCTGGTATGGACAGCACTATGTTGGCAGGAGACACTCTCCCGCCACTCATTGGGGGTGGTTTTATTATGTTCATGGGACAGCTCTTTCACGTCAGCATAGAGTGGCTACATGGGAGACTTTACTACAGCACAGCTGCATCGGTACAGCTGTGCCATTGTAAGGTATCTAGTGTAGACGTAGCCTAAGTCTCGCTTAGGACTCTCTTTTTACTATTGGTTATACAACAAAGTGCTTGGTGATAAACTACCTTAATGGGTGATTTATACGCCCTTTTACAAAGTAGTATGGATTTAGCCATATGACATCCCTTAGTGCAAGGAACAGCACCTCACTACTCATCTTTTCCAGATCATTAAAAGTATTTATTTACAGTTGCTTTCTCTCTCTTTCCTGCCCCATCTTTCATAAATTCAGAACATACTAATTTTAAAAGTTTTTCCCGCTAAATATTCAAGAGACCCAAAAGCAGCTGGCATTTTTTAAATTGCTGCTTCCCTCTAGTTACTTTTATATCTGCTAATACTTAGTTCCAACATTTCAGTTAATTGCCTGGGAACTAATCGAAGTAGTAACTCCTCCCTTATCCATCTGCAATCAAAGATAGCTTTAACTGTCATTCTGACAACATCATCGTTTTTCAAATGTTTTCAGTAGCTGTCTTCTGCCTCTTGAATCAAATTCAAACTTTTCAGTACTCATCTTTAAGGTCTTGCACAGCTCAGCTTCCACTTAGTTAAATGTGCCAGTTAGGTACATGAAGTATCTTTCCCTTACCTCTCTCATCCTCATTTCATCATGCATTTTTCCAGGTGGACTCACTGGCACATCTATAATTCCCTTTCTGATCCAGTTGTCCTCCCTTTCCTGAAGGCCTATAAGTCCTAGTCTCACCTCAATGCCAGCTAAGCAGAAACAAGTTTTAGGAAACCCTCACAATGCAAATATTACTAACCAAAGTAATCACAGAGTCCTATTGTTGCTTTCCCCTTTCCCTTCGCCTCTCCTTCTCCCACAGCATGTTGTCCAACTTCTCTTGACATGCAATATTTTAACTCCAATTGTAAGTTCCTCACGATATTATCATCTATTTCTCTAAAATGCCACACACAATATCACTATATAAATAAACAACAATTAAATACAGGACCTCTTCTTGCAAACCCTTAATCTTGCAAGTTATCCCACTGAAATTTATGAAACAACTTACAGGCTCAAAAGAGAAGTTGAGAAAACTCTTTAAAAGTGAACTCAGCTTTCAAAGCCAAGAGGTGGCAAGCATAATTTTATCAACAATTTCCTGAGATGAAAAAGTCTCAGTTTCCGAGCAGACTGCTTTATTTCTTTAGAGTAGAAGCCCTCCCTCTGTTACTAACTCTTGGTGTGCATAACAATAACTGTATTCTAATTTCTATAAGCATAATAGACTAAGTTGTCAGATTTTTTCTTACATGCTTGATACATAAAAAGTGCAACTAGAAAAGGGAAAACTTATAAAACTGTAGAAGTTATAGGTGGAAAAGACCTAGGCTGTTTATGCCTCAAGCTAGCAAAGCACATTACAGGGCTACACAAGTTTAAATATAAACACATGCTTAAATGTTTTTTCTGAAGTAGGGTTCATATCCATTTCCCTGCTCATTCAAATGTCTGCTATATCCAAAGTAAGAATTTTGCTAACTCCAAGATACATTGAAGCTTAGCAGCAGTACAGATTTGTGTAAACTGCAGATGAATAGCAGTTGGTGGTATTCAAATACTGACAATACGCATGGCAAGAAGAACTCCAAATTTCTTTGTCCACAGATGTCATGGTTAGTTTTGTCAGGATATAACTAGAAAAACATTCCAAAAGTCTTTGAGCAGAGGACACATGAAGCTCAGAGACAGGTAAGGAAAACTTAGAATTTGTGTCATCACACATTAGGCATTCTTTTTTGGTCTTGTGGCACCTTTGAGACTAACAGAAGTATTGGGAGCATAAGCTTTTGTGGGTAAGAACCTCACCCCAATACACTCCCAATACTTCTGTTAGTCTCAAAGGTGCCACAGGACCCTCTGTTGCTTTTTACAGATTCAGACTAACACGGCTACCCCTCTGATACTTGATTTTTTGGTCTTGGCTCAGAAGAAAATACACACTACAGTGGGTGTACTATATGGTGTGTGTGTATGTATGTGTTTGTTCCAAAAACGAATTCTGCATTTCTTTACCTCATTTCATTTTTGAAAATTTATGTGCCAGTGTCCTTGTCACTTCTTGTTAAAACAAAGTCATTAAAAGAAAGAATGGTAAGTGAAATAAAATGAATACCTAGCATCTTGGCAGTGAAAATAATTCCCTTCTCCCTTCGCACCCCACAGTATTTCTCGTACACACCGTATTAGAAATAGAAATAATATCAGAGGCAATATTCTAACTATAAGGCCTTCGCCAGGCAATAGGAAATGAACATAGGAAAATCAGCTGTAGAGAAAAGAAGCTGAGATGCAGGATACAGTGGGAACCATGAAAGGAGAAAGCATAGGTAAGAAAAGGACAGTGTGAAAAACAGGAGAGTTGGGTAATAGAAGAGTAATGTTACAAGCACATTTTAAATTTAAATTTTTCTCTTTCCTTTTCTTTTCCTTATAAAATGCAGATAAAGATATTCGATAATTGCAATCTTCTTTCTAATCTTCATTCCAACCATTCATTTCAAAACTTGACTTAAAAAAAAACTTTTAAAATCTGCTATCACCTCAAATGTGCAATTTCAAGAGCTGTCATGATTCAGTTAACGACTCCCTTCCCTCGCTCCCCCCCAAAGTAACTTGGACGGAGTGCCAGACTGCTCAGAGAGGGTGTAATCACATTGCCTCTGATAGCTAGACTACAAAGCATATAAGCCCTTTAGTTAAAACAGTAGGAGATTGTGTTTTTGAATGAAACATTGACCAGGTAGTGCAGGGCAGCCACAGCCAGCAATCTGAATGACTAACATGACATTTATGTAGGCAAAGAATCAGCCTCCTTAATGTAAGTAACCCATTTGACTATAAAGTTTCTCGTGCATTTTCATGATGATTTTTAAATTCTTCCTTCATTTGAAGAAAAACAAAGTATGTTCTTGTCGTTAAAGGTAAATTCTAATCCCAGTTCTTCCACGACTATTTGGGGTAAGTCTCTTAGTTTTACAAAATACCTAAAATACAGATATTGAATTAAACAACAAAACAGATTTTTAAACATCTAAGTAGACACTTGTCAACACATTGCTCTCTGCTTGGTAGTTAGCCTACATGTGGATGAAATTAACAAACCCACAACTTTACTGCACACTACTGCCTTGTGTTTCAGAATAAAATCTTAAAAGTAATATTCTGAATGATGCAGCAGAGTCCCCTATACACCAGGTCTTTGTGTATACTTGTTTCAGTGGAGTTCTCAGGACTGGATACTACTCTATCTTGACCCAATTCTGGTTGGTCTCTGGTCAATCTAGAGAGGTGTTCAATTAATAAAGGTAATTTAACATTGTAAAATTATTCGGGATACCTTTGGGTAGTCTCTTACAAGGAAGGAGGTCTTGAAATACAGTACTATTTATTAGTTTTAATCCTTACTAAACTAATTATAAGTGATTCTGAATTTAAAGCACCAACACAAATTACCAAAGCCACACCCAAACCCCGACTGCACCCACACCAGTTGGCCCTCAAGACCTTGCCTTCAGGCCCTTGTCCCGCAACCTCAGTTGGCTGAACACCATCCAGCCAATCTGCCTCTGAAACACACCCAGGAAACAATCGGTATGCACTCATGCTTCACACCATCCATATCTTTGCCCTGGTGTTCCGCCCCGATGCCAAGTGGCAGGACCTGCTGACACCTAAGGATGGCTAGGCTGTACTTCACTCTGGTTCTACAGCCCTCCTGGGATACTAGCTGGTGGCATCTTCACGTAATCATGAGCACAGGCGTGTACTTGGCATGGTTCAAGAACTCCCCTGACATCTGTCCTTTCTGTGGCCAGAGGGAGACCCTGTCATACTTCTATGTAAAGTACATCAGAATGCAGACCCTCTTCTGGCTTCTCTAGAACCGCTTATGGAAATTCTGGCTGCACTGTCTTCCACGCCTCCTTATCCTAGGACACCCCGTCCACGGGCCCACAAAGTCACAAGACCTCATAATCAACCTCCTCCTAGTGCTGGCCAAGTCAGCCATCCATCACAGTAGGAGAAGGAAGCTGAACGGGGCGGGGGTGCTCTGTGACTGTGTGGCTTAATTCCGGTTTCTTATCTGCTCAAATCTCTAGGCAGAGTTCCTCTGAAGAGCATCCACTGACTCCTAAGACTCCTTTGAGGAGCAGTGGGAGCTATCTGGTGTTCTCTGCTTGGTGTGTCCCCGTCCCACTCCGATCCCTCATTATTACCCTCTGACATCACTCCTGATCCTGTTTTAGTCATTTGTTGTCCACTTGATGCCAGTGATGTTCAGTGGTTCCTCATTCTTAATTGAGGGGGAAGGCCTTTTGTTTTGGGTAGGCCTATGCCTGCCCACCCTCAGTGCTTCAAACAGTACCCACACCAACTCTGAAAAAGTCTGAATCCAAACTTTGCAGGTTTACTACCCAGGCACTTCCTTAAAAAATAACTGGGCAGATACACAGATTAAGGACACAACTCTGGAACCAATGCACACCCTAGTGAGCACCTAATCACTCAAGTAGTCTCACTGGGTTTCCAGTGAGGGGGCTCCACAATATGGCCTAGAGAAAAATAAACTAAACAAACCAAAAATAATAGGTTGGGTTTATAAACAACAAATCATGTTGAAAACTTGATCATTTTTTATTGAATTGCAAAATTAATAGATATATAAAAAGAATTAGTCAAGCAATTTTTATAAGGCCTCACAAAATGTTAACTTGAAGTTTAAATTATATTTGTCTTAGATATAAGGCCTGTTACATGGCTTGAAAGCTAGACAAAGGATTTCAAACAAAAGGATAACACACTCCCCAAGACAGCAGCAGTAGAACTTCAGAGAGTTAGTGTGGTTTGGGAAGGGCATAGAGGTGAGACTAACCCACGCTGGGACCTCTGAGTGGAGGAAGCCAGCAGTAAGTGAGATCTGCTGATGGCAATTCTCCAACTTTACCTTTTGCCCTTCACCTCTGTGCAGCACAGGAGCTTTTTAAACCTGTCTTACAAAAAAGTCTAAAAAAAAGAGGAGAATTTGAGGAAATAGGATGGGATTTGATGTTTCCTTTGATGCAATTTCAATAGACTCTCACAAGAAAGTCATAGAGCAACACCTGACACAGCATAAGTGTGTTATGTTGCAATGTCCAGTTCAATGTATGTAAATATGATGTAACATCTCTCAATTCCCATGTCTCATCCTCTCCCTCCTCATTCACCCTTTTCTGGGTGGTATCTTCAAAGTTTCTTGGTGGTGGTAGTACAAGGAGTCTGTACACTCTGAGATCATGGTCCTTCGTTCAATGCTCTGGCTGACACACACACACACACACACACAAAATCAATATTAGCCAGTGCAGAGAGTTCTCCTGCAATTAGTACTCTGCTTGCTGGTATAGGAGTGGAAAATGGCCCAGAAGTCATAGCAGATGCCAAATCATGCTGTTATGACCTATAGGTTGAGTGTCAACATTCTGTTGCCTTGCACAGAAACATGCTATATAGATACTTACACAGGTAGGTGCTCATGAATATACGGTGAGCAAATTTCACTCTCTCAATCAAATAATGAAAACACACTGATAACACACTGCAATATTCCAGACCTCATTATAAATTTTTAGTTGACAAAAAAAGAATAAAGAGGAACTATGTAACATAATCAAATCTCTCCCCAGTAAACAATAAATTACTTATATTTATACCAAATAGAGCAAAATGCGGCCAGAAAAACAAAGATAAAATGTGATATCAAAATTATGTTCTGGACAAAGGCTAAAATGTTAAGTAGAGCACCTGTTTGTGTGCAACAAAGGTCTTGTATGAAAGGGGGGAAGACACAACAAAACAGTACACAGGCTTTTACAGGATGTGTTTTTTGCAAGGACTATAATACATGTTTTTAATCTATGAAACATCTGGGACCAAAAAATCAATTTGTACCATTTTTTAAGATAGAATAGTTTTAAAGTTTGTAATCCAGTTTCTATAATATAAATCTGCACAAAACTAACAGCACAGGGCTTTAGGCTTTTTCTGGGAATATAAAATATGCAGAATCCTACCAGGCCATATTGCCATGGGCTGTGTTGTCAAGGTGACAGAGTAGCTCCAGGGTTTGAGTGTTGCTTGATGAATCATCAGGGGATTCATGACTGCCTGATTCCAATTCCTTCGGCATCCTCCAAACAGCCGCACATGTCATGACTTTACTGTCTGAAGCTAAGCAGCAGAGGATAATGTCAACAGATCATTGTACAGGAGACATACTGTATACATGCATCAACATCTATGCAAATCTTTAAGCAATGCACATCTGCTGTTTGAAATATTTAAAATATCATATTAAGCTGAATTCAAAAAACATACAACACAGATAAAGGCACAGACCTCAAGTCAGCAATCAGTTCACCGCAGAACTCACAATTAGCATACATTTAACCCACTTTTCCATGGTTTAAAGCCAAAATTCAGTTCTGATGAAAAGAGATTTTCCAAGCCCCATTCCCCATATGTTCCTTTCAATTAATGTTAGAAATGAAAATGACCCCTTCTTAAGTGTATAGTTTGCACCTTAACAGTAATAGTTTAGCCACAATTTTAAAATTTCTTCATGTGGATTTGCTGGGTTATCCCCAGTTTGCATGTATGGCACTAAGTCACATTCTTTGCTGTGAAAGACTGTTTAGCAAAAAGAGTTCTCCTCTAAACATATATGCATTCAAATTCGTCCCTTTAATTCCAGCTGTAAAAACAGTGTTTCCAAAAAAGACAAATACAAGATTTATTTTTATTTTTAAAAAAGCAGCAACAGCTAATGGTCCCTTCTGACCTTAAAGTCTATGAGTCTTTAAACCCCTTTATGTTTAAATTTGCCTTTTAAAAAAAATGATGATGTAGCAAAATATAGGTGTAGCTATGAAAGCAGTCTATCAGCACTATAGGGAAAAGAATTTTGCGCGGCCCATCTTCATTACCCTGCACCGTGTGTAGCAATTTGCATTAGTGCAAAGTGGGTGTAAGCATTACTAGATCAGAATGGCAATAATTTGCGACCACTTTGCACTGGTGCAAATTGCTATGCAACAGAGAATCTGGTTCAAGGTCAACAAGGGAATAGCACAGGGGTAGGCAAACCTTTTGGCCCAAGGCCACATCTGGGAATAGAAATTGTATGGCGGGCCATGAATGCTCACAAAATTGGGCCTGGGGTGTGGAAGGGGGTGAGGGCTCTGGTTGGGGTTGCGGGCTCCAGGGTGGGGCCAGAAATGAGGAGTTCAGTGTGCGGGAGGGGGCTCCAGGCTGGGGCAGAGGAGTTCGGAGGGCGGGAAGGGGATCAGGGTTGGGGCAGGGGGTTGGGGCTCCGGAGGGGGCCAGGGGTGCAGGCTCCGGGCTGCACTTAACTCAAGCGACTCCTGGAAGCAGCGGCCATGTCCCCCTTCTGGCTCCTAAGCGGAACTGCGGCCCGGAGGCTCTGCACGCTGCCCCGTCTGCAGGCGCTGCCTCTGTAGCTCCCATTGGCCGCAGTTCCCGGCCAATGGGTGCTGCGGGTGGGGGCAGTGTGCAGAGCAGGAGCCAGAGCAGGGCCATACTGCTGTTTCCGGGAGCGGCCCCAGACCCTGCTCCCCAGCTGGGGCACCTGAGCGGGGTAAGTCCCAGATCCCACTCCCCAGTGGGAGCTCTAGAGACGGATGAAAATGGCTGGTGGGCCAGATCCGGCCCGTGGGCTGTAGTTTGCCCACCCCTGGAACAGCAGATCAGTACAAGATACTGCTGCACACAAAAATCCTACCATTGATGGCAATAGTAAGGAGACCACTAATAGTAGGGGTTTGGGTTGGGGGGCAGTTTGGGGAAGATTGAATCCCTATTAAAATGGTCTGTGTGAAAATCCAATGGGTAAGTAATGGTTACTTTAAAAAAAACATTTTCTTTTGAAGAGTCGCTTTGTATTAGGGACTGAGAGACGAAGGACTTCCCTTTCTGAGTACATATGACTGGTTTTAGTCTGGAGCTATGAACTGAGGTGATTCTGCTGACTTTGAGAATTGAGGGAAAGGAAACAGGAGCAACTGTACTACAAAACAGTATCTTGGACTAAGATGTCAGCAACATGGATACAGAAACCAAACAAGTCCATATTACAAAGCAGTTTGAAGCAAATATATAAATAAGGCATACGAACTACTTCCCCAAGGACAGAAAGAGGGTAAGCATTTAATCCAAAATAATTAATAATAAATAATAAGAAATCTTAGTTATCCATGAGAAACAGGAAAAGTAACTAGATAAAAATTGGATGAAATTAGGAAAGACCAATGGAAGAAGATGATAATCACTTCAGGCTGAAGGGGAGGCTTAATTTACTGTGCAGACTTCAGAACTTGTTATCTGGCAAATGTATACACTAGAATTTGTACATGAATTTGGTCGAAGAGGCAATTTGGAATCACGACGGTGTTGGACAATCCCCTTTCGTCTGTTGCTATGCAAACAGACCTGTACTAATTGTAGTGCATGCTGAGTGATTGATCAATATTTAAAACTCACCTAATACTATACCAAATTTGCCACTTCAATTCAATGTCATTACTGAACAACAACAAAAAAAGCAACTCTATATTGCTATTTTTCCTTACCAAATGGTAAAGCAGTGCACCTAACACACTAAGCACCTCCACTATACAAAGAAAAAACAACAACTATCCACTTAAGCTAAATTTACAGTAAGTTCGTGTACTCAGTAACAATATGCTTTCTCATAGCTGATAAAGAAAAAAGCAAGCACCTGGAGGCTGTCCCACTACCACCGAGAGATGCACAGAGAACCATGAAAGGTGTAAGCCGCTCAGAAGAGGCCATGGTACATAGACTTTCCAGAGTCTTAGCTAGGGTTAAGATCCATAGTGTCTGTGGGGAGAAAATGGCAAGTGATTTTCAGCTAGATTCTTTTGGGAGGAATTTGGGAAAGTGGTGAGTTTGGTATAGTCTTTGGTAGAAGTGTTGTTGTTGGTTTGTTTTTGTTTTGTTTTTCTGGCAAACTACCTATGACTAAGTTTGTCTAAAGGTAAAGATCATGATAAACTCCTTCTGCCCCCCATCATAGGGTGGGGCAGACCCAGCACATCACCACTTTTTGCTTTAACAAATTTAAACCCTCTTTAACATCACTTCATTTCTTTGTCTGAGTCTACTAGATGATCCACTATTATTATTTATATTATAGTAGTGTAACCCACACACCTTCTGGGTGTGGTGTTCTAGCCCATCTAGTAGCACCAAGACCACTTAGAGAGAATTAAATGAGTTTGCTCTAGAGCCCTAGTTAACAGCCAGTTGGCTTTTAGCTCATGCGGTAGAGGCTCATGCACTAAGCTCCAGCAGTCCCAAGTTCGATCCTGCTTGCTGACAACTGGGATCTGTCAGCATTACCGTAGCACCCAAGTGTGCTAGGCACTAAACATACACACAGAAAAGCTTGTCTCTGCCTGAAGAGCTTATAGTCTAAAAAACAGACATTTTGCTGCAATCATCTCCAGACTGCAATGGCTATAAGCAGAAAAGAGTCTACCCTAAATGAGCTGGTTAACTGAGACAGTGCCCATATGCACCTTCATGCTATCTATTATTTACTGAAAAACATGGTGAAGAACAATTGCACTCTGATAATTTCCTGTTCCATGAAACCCAAAGTAGAGATGCTGGCTGTGGAACAGAGGAGTTCAGCAGAGATGGTGATCCAAATTTGAACCCTATGAAGTTAACCCATACTCTGAACAGGTGAGCAAGACTCAGCAGCCAAGCATCTAAGAAAGAGAATTCTCCTTACCACCTCAATACACCCTCATTTGGTGCCGTATTTCCAGCTGCAGCCAAACCCTGATGCTTTAGAAGATAGCAAAAACAAAACAAAACAAAAACAACACAAACAAAAAAACCCAGAATACACCTGGCCAATTGTGCAAAGGGAAAAATTCCTTCAAGAGCCCTGCAGACAATCAACTTATGCCCTGAAGCATAAGATTTTATTATATGATTTTATTCGATTCATCTCAGCAAAGAAAGTATTTTAAGCTCCGCAAAAGATATCTGGGATCTTAATTTTAACCTCTGAGTATTTCTGCAATGTTGAGTCTAGGGAAGTTAGTGTAACTTGTCAGTTGGAGCCCCACTTAAGCTAGTCTCATGAGTTTTGGATTTCATCAAGACAATGCAGAAGCCAGCACATCACACAGATGCTTGGAAGAGTAAAGGAAAATAATTGCTAATAGCAAAGAAAGCCACCTAAAGACTGGAGGAAGAATTTGAAGCAGGGCAAAGTTATCAAAAGCACCTAAGTAACTTAGGTGCTTTTGAAAATTTTACCTGCGGCCACCAATAAAGAAAACCACTTAAATTTCAAGTGTGCGCAGTAACTGGGCAGAGATTCTATCTAACTATAGTAACTATAAATGCTGTCAAGACCAAGCTGGAAATGTGCCTCACTACTGTATGCACAGGAGACTCCACTGGGTGGTGAAAGCATAAAGATAGATCATACTTCCACATCTTGCAGACTTAGCTATGCCATTCCTTGGAGCCCAGTATACAGTGTCCCTTCTGAGAGGCTGTTTATCTACTTTGATATGATGTATATCAGATTCTATTTGTTCTCCCAAAATGCAAGAGAGGCTTATCTTTTTGAAATGTAATTTGACCAGAATAGATTTACTGTATTAATGGCTGTTATTTTGTAGTACTTACTTGAAGCAGCAATTTTTTTTAACTATTCGATTTTCATCTTAAACTGTTCTAAGCTTTCTACATTAGTGCATATCTTTATAATCCAATGCTTAGCATGAAAACTATCAAACACTTACAAGGGGTCCCTCTAGCTGAGAAGTCATTTGTCCCAGTTCACTATGGGTACATCTACACAACCTGTTGCAGCAACCCTCACAGCCCATGACAGACTTGGGCTAGTGAAGCTTGAGCTAGCACTCTAAACATGGCTGTGGAGACAGTGCTTTGAAGTTATGGCTCAGGCTGGATCTCGGGCACTGGAGCCCGAGCCCAGCAAGCCCAAGTCTGCGGATTAGGGCTAGGAGGCTCGCTGCCACCAGCTGTGTAGATGTACCTAAAGGAGGAAGTAGTTCAGCTATTTAGCTGTCTCTGGTCCAAATTTACAGAAACTGAAATGAGAAACTTCTATCGATTATTTATCAAGATTTAAAATGACCTAT